TTTTAACTTTGGTTTTTATTTTTATTCTCTGTGGTGGGAATTAAATCCAGGCCTTCATGCATGTGAGGCAAGTACTTTACCGCCGACCTATAGATATAGCTCTGAAGGAGTTCTCTTTTTTTATTTGGAAAATATTTAGTAGATGGATGTAGTGGAGCATGCTAACCGAATCCCAGCACTTTCTGAGGTTGAGGCACAGGGATGAGAAATTTGAGCCTGGTGGGCAATTCAGGGACTTACTGAAAAGTTGTCTCAAAAGAAAAAAAGAAGAACTTCGGGCTGTAATTTAGTGTTAATGCAGTGGGTTCAATCTCTGCTACCATTAGAATAAAAAAGTACACACAGATACAACAGGTGAGTTTTTAAATGTGGTTTTGTTAAGAACATGTTTTAGTGTGGTCTGGAACCAAAGTGTTTTTTTTTCTCACTAAGTCAATTCTGTGCATTGCGTATCTTTTATTTTAATGAGAAAGATAAAATAGCAAAAGTTTTAAAACAGATTAGTAGGGCGGTTACAATAATTAATACATCGCATATTGTTGTCTTCATAGTAGTTATTCAGAGGACAAGATGCAGACATAAAATCTTGTCTAAACAATATTACTATGAACTTTTACCCTCAATGAATTAAGAGAAACTAGCTATATATCCTCTCTGTGTATACTTATATTTTTTTCTCTTTTCCCCCCCAACAAAATGGTCCTTTATTTACACTTTTATGATGTTAGTAACACATGACACTAGATTGCCTAGTAACTGATAGCTAACCTTAACCAGACAGGATGTTCATCTCAGGAGTGAGGTGGATTGTTTGCTTTAGTCACTAGGCCAAGTCCTACCTACTCATATTTGATCAGTTTCCTAGCTTTGTGGCTTCCAACATATCCCCCTTTTACATTTGTTTTGTCAGAGATGGGTGTTCCACTGCAGTTAGTGAAGCTGTATTTGTAGAAGTCTTTGTGTGTGTGTGTGTGTGTGTGTGTGTGTGTGTGTGGAACTGGGAACTGAACTCAGGACCCTGAGCTTGCCAGGCAAGCACTTATTCCACTGAGCTATCTCCCCGGCCCTGGAGAAGTCTTTAAAGGACTTTTTCATATTTGAAGCCAGTCTAAAGATTGTAGGTGCTTGAATTCAGCAGAATAATCCAATATAGTCCAGTAGTCCGTAATAGTACTGGGTTATCAATAGACCTGGCAGTTGTTAGAAGTTGTTGACTTGGCCCGAGGAGATGTTTCAGTGGAATAAGCGCTTCCCTGGCAAGCGCAGGGGCCTGAGTTCAATCCCCGGTTCCAACAAAAAACAAAAAAAGTTGTTGACTTGAGACTTGCACCTCCACAAATTAATATGGCATTACTTTTATACCTTGTGGTTATACTTTTCCACTGGATGGTGAAGACCAAGTTAAAGCAAGACCTATCTAACTAAAAATGTAACTTGTATCTGACAAGATCAGTCAAATCCCCTCAGGATTTACCCTGGAACCATGTACATCACCTTGTAGATCTTTTGTCATTGTCAGTCATCTGGATGAATCATGGCCATTGCTTGACCAATTTGATCACTGTGAAAGCCTGAGAGAATGTTTTCTTTCTAGGTGACTCTCCTTAGGCACACTCTACATTGTCGATCACTTTTACTCTGTGGCTCCATAATCTCCTTGAGAAAGGAGATTTTTTTTTTTTTTCCTTCAAAAATTTGGGACACCACGTAGTTACAGGATGTCACTGCACAGGTTCTCTTCTGTCCTGAGTCCTCACTGGCCTTGAAGGGATAGAACCAAAGTATTGGGTATCCTTCTAGATCCTCCATTTCTCTAATTTTTGGTCTGCAAACTTGAGTTGTAAAACATCCAGAAGAGAAGCTTAATGATATTATTACCCTATAACAGAGACAGTTGATCTTAACATCACTATCTGTCTGAATATCAAATGCTTTAGATATGACACTGAACTGCTATTTTCCAACAGCCATGGAGATTCTAAACTTCAGATCTCTATAGAATGTGAAAAAAATTACACATTTTTACACAGAAATTTAGAAATCAAAGCACATGCAACATTGTAGCAGGACCATCCTATGACATTTTTTTCTTCTCTTGTTTTCTTTTACCTCCTTTCTTTTTTTTTTTGCAAGCATTTACTTTAAAGAGAGTGTAGCAATAATCAGTATAACATTAGAATCAGTAATCATTTAGAAAAGCAAAATGTCAGGTGTTTCAAGCATGCTTTTAGGGTTTTTTTTTGTTGTTGTTATTTTAGAGATCTGTAGGGTATTCAGGGTCTCACTACTAGATCAGACTCATAGTGTTCTCCTCTCTACAACCTCCCAAGAGCTGGGATTACAGGCATGCGCCACCATACCCAGTCTCAATCGCAGTCTCAGTGCACCCTGGAGATGGGGCCCGCACTGCAGGCCCCAGAGATCAAACAACCAGCCCCTGTGCCTGCTTGGAAGAACTTTAATTTGCTGAGCCATTTGACCGGCCCTAAATTTGAGAAGGATAATTTTTTTTTCTTTGCAACTTCAGAGTCCCTAAAAGACAGATCTGGTACAGCTTCTGGACTTGGGAATCAAACCACGGTCCTTTACACCTGACACCATTTGCCCAAGGGGCGCTTTAAAGAACTGAGCTATCCGGCAAGGCGCTCATGGTTTTAGTATTACGCATTGCTTTCCTCAGTGTATTTGCTCAGTTCACATATATCAGCATGTAGAATTAGTCAGGGTGAGAATTCTACCCATTAACTGCTATTTTCAAAAATCTTGATGGAGATTCTTAGGACCATTGCCTTAACCATCTTGTTTGTATCAGTGTATGGTTTTGTCCCTGCCATATTTCCTAACTTTTCTCCTTTCTCTGTCTTCATTGCTTAGTCCTTAAGTTCTCACTTTCCATTTAACTGTGTTATACCTTTCAATTTTTATTTCTTCTGAGTTCTTATACTAGGGAGATAATGCAATATTTACACATGTGGGTTTAGCTTATTTCACTTATGAGAGTGTATCTTCAGGTTGCATTCACTTATATATGAAGGCTTCTAGTTTATGTTACTTTATACCTGAGAAATACTCAATTGTATAAAAACACCACATCTTTTTTTTTCTTTTTTTTTTTTTTTTGTAAAATAAGGGCACAGCTTTATTTTGCTACAAGGCAGTAAGTATACTGTCATCAAAGGTTCAGTGCTGGCAAAAACACCACATCTTTTTCCTCCATTCCTCAGGTGACAGGCATTTTGGTTGTTTCTAAGATTCAGCTATCACAAGTTGTCCTGCTGTAAATATAGCAGCACATATAGCACTATGATAAGATGTTTTCAGTTCTTTTGTGAAAATTTCCAGATGGGGGATAGATGGATTGAATGGGATTTCCAGTCCTGATTTTTTTGAGGAATCTCCACACTGATTTCCATAATGGTTGCACAGGTTTACATTCCCACAAGCAGTGGAGAAGGGTTCCTTTTTGCCTGCAGCCTCCAACATTTGTTGTTGATTTCTTTATGATAGCCATTCTTTGTGAGATGAGATGGTATCTCAATGTTGTTTTAATTTGCTAATGATGGCTAATGATGTGGAGCATTTTTTCATGTCTTTGCTTGTTGTATTTCTTCCGCTGAGAAGTGCATGTTTATCTTAGATGACCATGTTTGGATTGAGTCTTTAAATTTTGGGGCCGTAATGTTTTCTGGTTCTTTATAAATTCTAGATTAAAGATCTTTGTCTGAGTGATTATTTAAGGTTTTTTCCAAATTTGTGGGGTGTGTTTCCACTCTGTTGGTAATTTCTTTTGACATGCAAAAACTTCTCAACAAGAGGAGGTCCTAGGTGTTCATTCTTTCAAGTATTTTCTGCGTAGTTTGATTTTTGTTCATGAGCTGTTTGCCTCTCCCTATGTCTTCAAGATTTCCATCTACTTTCTCTTTCAGGTGATTTAGTATTTCTGTTTTAATGTTTAGATCTTTAATCCATTCTGACTTTAGTGCATGGTTGTAGACCCGGGTCAAGTTTTAATTTTCAGGATCTAGAGAGCCAATTTTTCCAGCACCATTTGTTAAAGAGGCTCTCTTCCTTTCAGTAAGCATGTTTAGCTCTTTTCTGGAAGGCAAGATACCTTAGTGTGTTTGTAGTTGTCTCTGCATCTTCTAATCTATTCCACTGATCCTGAGGTCTGTTTTTTTGCCCGTACCATGCTGATTTTATCACAGTATCTTTGTAAGTCAGGAATTGTAATGTCTCCTGCCTTGCCTTTGTTACCCAGGATTGTCTTTTCTATTCTAGGTTTCCTCTGGTTCCAAATAAATTTTAGAAATGATTTCTGTAGGTCTGTGAGGTATGTTGGTGTATTTTGATAGGGATTGCATTAAATATGTATAACAATTTTGGGAGTATAGTCATCTTCACACTGTTTAACTGCTTTATTCTTATTCCTTTTGTCTCTCTTGTCTAATGACTCTAGCTAATGATTCCAGAGCTATATTGAATAGGAGTGGTGATAGATGACATCCTTTTCTTATACCTAATCTGAGAGTAAAAGATTTCAGTTTTTCCCCATTTAGAATTATGTTAGCATTTGTATTGTCATAGATGGCTTTTATCAGATTGAGGGAAAGGCCATCTATTTCAATTTTCTGTAGGACTTTGCACATAAATGAGTGTTTCACTTTGTCAAAAGCCATTTCTGCATCAATTGAGATGATCTTATGGTTTGGGGCTTTGGCTCTATTGCTGTAGTGTATTACATTTATAGATTTGCGTATGTTGAGTCATCCTTGCATCCATGGGATGACTCCTACCTGGTCATGGTGTATAATCTTTTTTTTTTCTTTTTCTTCTGTATTTTAGGGAAGGTTCTACAAGGTATTCAGGTTCTTCCTACTAGATCCAACTGGTAGTGATTCTTCTGTTTTCAGGCTCCGAAGTAGTGGGATTACAGGCATGTACCTCCACGCCCATCCCCAATTGCTGTCTCAGCACACCACGGGGACAGCAAGGCAGGCCCGAGAATTGAACCTTAGCCACTGTGCCTGCTTGCAGGTGCTTTTATAACCTTCTTGCTGATTTGTTGTGTTCTATTTGCTAGAATTTTATTTAGGATTTTCGCATCTATGTGCATGAGGGAGATTGGCCTGTGGTTTTCTTTTTTAGTTGTCTCTTTCTCTGGTTTTGGTTTCAGTATAGTACTTGCCTCCACGAATGATTTTGGGAGAATTGTTTCCTTTTCAATGTCATTGAAGAGTTTGAGACGTATTGGGATTATATCTTCAGTAAATTTCTTGTAGAATTCAGCTGTGACTCAATCAGGACCTGCATTTTTCTTTGTTAGTAGGTTTTTTATTACATTTTGTATTTCATTGGCTGTTATTGGGTTATTGAGAGTTCTTCTATCTTCTTGATTCAGTTTTGGCAATTTGTGCTTTTCTAGGAATTTGTCCATTTCTTCTGTGTCTTCTATTCTGTGAGAGTACATTCTCAAAATAGCAATTGATGATATTCTGAATTTCCACAGGGTTTGTGGTAATTACACCCTTTTCATTCCTTATTGCTTGAATTTGAGTTTTTTTCTATTCTCTTTTTCATGTGGTTAGCTAGGGGCTTATCGATTTTATTTAATCTTTCAAAGAACCAATCTTTTGATTCTTTAATTCTTTGCATTGTTTTCTTTATCTCAATTACATTACTTTCTGCTCTAATCTTTATAATTTCCTCCCATTTTTGGGCTTTGGCTTTGGTTTCCTCTTCTTTTTCTAGACATTTGAGGTGCAGAGTTAAGAGTATTTATTTGTTCCCGTTCTGTTTTCCTAATGTGTTTGTCCACAGATATAAATATCCCTCTGTGGACTGCTTTCATTGCATCCCATGAATTCCA